ACCCTACAACCCATAAGCTATATAAAGTCATACAAACTAAGCCAGTTGGCTCCTTCAGTACACAACCATAAAAGCATAACTAAATTGTAACTAATTCCATGCTTAATACTAACTCACTTATTAAAATGTGATTAAGAAATCACATTGTTTACAGTTCATAACCTTTCCCTCCCTTTCAAAAGACCTTGTCTACAAGGTTGGTTAGCAATCAAAACTTGAACTCCGGATAGCTTGCAGTGAAAGCATCAAAATCTTCCCAGGTTGCATCTTTTCTGGCACCCTCTTCCCATTACACAAGAAGTTGAACTCTAACTGCATTCCCTTTTTTGTACATTCTTCATTGTAGTACTGCCATAGGCATTTGTTGTTTCAGACCATCATCATGAACAGAGGGCAAAGTAGTAGTAGGAACAATGTCAGGGCCCAAATGTTGCTTAAGACAGCTAACATGGAAAACGGGATGTAACTTGCAGCCTTTAGGGAGCTTTAACTTGTAAGCTACCGAGCCTATCTTCTCCAATACTTCAAAAGGACCATAGAAACAAGGCTGAAGTTTGTGATAAAAGTGAGAAGCTAAGGACTGCAATTGATAAGGTATAAGCTTTAGATAGACCAGTTGCCCCTCAACAAACTCTCTCTCGGTTCGGTGCTTGTCAACTTGCACCTTCATTATGTTCCTTGCCTTCTCCAAGTTTGATTTTAGCTGAGACAAAAGTTTATCCCTGGCTATCAAACTTTGCTCCACCATTTCCACTCGTGATGTGCCACTCTCATAAGCTGCAATGTGAGGTAAGAGGTATCCATAAACCAACTCAAATGGAGTAAACTGTGCAGAGGTATGATACGAAGTGTTGTAGCTCCACTCTGCCCATGGTAACCAGTGCAACCATTTCTTAGGTTGTGCACTAGTGAAACATCGCAAATATGTCTCCAAACACCTATTGAGAACCTCAGTTTGGCCATCGATTTAAGGGTGATAACCAGAGCTCGGGCAAAGGGTTGAACCTTGAAGTTTAAAGAACTCATTCCAGAAGGAACTCAAAAAGTTAGGGTCCATGTCACTTATTATTGATAAAGGCATGCCATGTAATTTAAAGACATGGTTCACAAATGCTTGAGCCACAATAGAAGCAGTGTAGGGGTGTGCTAATGCCACAAAGTGGGCATACTTGGATAATCTGTCGACAATCACCATTATTACAAATTTTCCAGAGCATAAGGGAAGACCTCCAATGAAATCCATGCTAATGTCCTTCTAAATACCTTGAGGAATAGGCAGTGGTTGCAACAAACCTGGAGGAGCAATGGTTTCATACTTATGTTGTTAGCAAATTGTGCACTTAGAAACAATTCTCTTCACATCACTTTTCATGTCTGGCCAATAAAAACCACGCTTAACCCGGTGATATGTCATAAAAACCCCTTCATGTGCCGAAGTAGGAGCAGAATGGTGCTCATTGAGAACCTTATCTCGCCAAATCAAAGTGGGACTGAGCATTATTCTCGATTTATACTTGAGCAGCCCATTATCAACATGGTAGTGGGAGGTGGTTGTTACATATTTAGTTAAATCTTGCACCTTCTGCAGGATCCATTTATCCATCTCATTAAACCTCTTTAATTCATCAATCCATCCCATGTAGGGGTATGAGATAGCATGACAAGTAACAATCATTTCAGACTGGTTATTGGTGTCTCTTTGAGTCTGAGAGGAATCAACTACCCTTGAGAGGGCATCTGCAACAACATTTTCAGAGCCACTCCTATATGGGATCTCATAATCAAATCCAAGCAACTTAGATACCCATTTCTGTTGAAAAGATGTATATGCTCTATTACTGAGGAAATATCGCAGACTATGGTAGTCTGTTTTAATGATGAAATACCTCCCTTGCAAATAATGTTGCCACTTTTTTACAGCTTGCACTATTGCGATTAATTCCCTTTCATATGTGGAGAGTGCTTGGTTCTTGGGACCAAGTGCTTGACTCGAAAAAGTAATAGGTTTTCCCCTTTGTTGCAGCACTGCCCCTATGCCATTCCCGGATGGTCACATACAATGACAAAGGGTACTGAAAAATTAGGCAATGCAAAGATTTAAGGAGAAACCATAACTTGTTTGAGTGTAAGAAAAGCATTATGAGCATTAGAATTCCAATGAAATACATCCTTTTTGGTCAACTCATAAAGTGGTTGACAAATTTTGCCATAACTGAGAATGAACTTCCGATAGTAACCCGTGAGGACTAAGAAACCCCTCAACCCTTTTACATTCGCAGGTATAGGCCAGTCAACAATTGCTTGAAGCTTGGAGGGATTAACGGCTACACCCTCTCGAGAGACCACATGTCCTAAATATTCAACTTTGGACTGGCCAAAAGAGCATTTTTGCTTCTTCACAAAAAGTTTATGATGTGTGAGTACCTGGAATGTTATTTTTAAATGTAAGATGTGATCCTCCCAAGACTTGTTGTATATGAGAATATCATCAAAAAACATAAGTATAAATTTCCTTAAGTAAGGCCAGAAGACATCATTCATTAGATTATGAAATATGGCAAGAGCATTTGTGAGCCCAAAAGGCATCACTAGGAACTCGTAGTGTCCCTTATGGGTACGGAAAGCAGCTTTCTTGATATCTTCTTCACACGTCCTAATCTGGTGGTAACCAGATCGTAAATCAAGCTTAGTAAAGAACTGAGCCCTATACAACTCATGAAACAAGTCATCTATCAAGGGAATATGATATTTATTTTTTATGGTAACAAAGTTTAACTTTATGTAGTCCATACAAAGCCTTCAAACTCCTTCCTTCTTCAAGACAAGCAACACTAGCAAGAAAAAAAGTTGTGACTTGGACGGATAAAACATGTTTGTAACAACTCAGCCACTGCTTTTTCTATTTCAGACTTTTGGAGAGGCCTATAATGGTAAGGTTGGATGTTGGGTGGTTTGGAACCTGGCAGGAGGGGAATCTGATGGTCATGCACTCATATTGGTGGTAGAGAAGTAGGAACTTCAAATAGAGGCTCATAATCATGCAATAATTGTTACAAGTCGTGGAGTTGAGAGGGGGTAAACTCAGAAACCTCCATTGTAGAGCCCTCCAAGGAGTAGAGCACCAACCCCAAAGTAGAATTCGAAAACTCTTTGTCTACATTGGGCAGAGAGATGGCATGTAAAGTAGGTAGTGGTTGAGTGTTACTATGGGAGAGTGTATAATGGTGGTCATTCACTATGAAGCCCATAGTTAAAAGCTGGAAGTCCCAAAGTATAGGGCTGATGGTAGATAACCAATGCACACCTAAAACAACATCACAACCACCAAAAGGAAAAGTAAAAAGTGTATGAGCACAGGAATAACCACCCAAAGATATGGGAGCCTCCTTATAACACCCCTGACTCCTCACATTCCCACCATTAGCCACCAGTACTTCAAAAGGTTTGGTGCCCCACAATTTCCAACCAACTTGCTTCACCAACCTGGAATCCACAAAACTATAAGAACTACTCGAATCTAATAAGATTATCACTGGTTGGCTGCCAATGAATCTCCCCACTTTCATGGTTTGAGGTGTGTGTTTGGATAGAGTCCCAAAATAAGCACATTCACTAAGTTCCAGGTGTTGTATCTCAACCAACACATCATTAGGTGGTTTAAATATTTCCTCATCAGTACCTAAGAAATCGATCATCAATAATTGATTATGGCCACACTTGTGACCACGAACCCATTTTTCATCACAGAACCAACAGTCACCTCTCTCCCTTTTTTTTTTTGAATTTCATTAGGTGAGAGTTTCTTAAGTGGTAAGTTAGGAAGCCTAGGATGTGTAGCATTATTGGGAGTAGGAGGTTGTAAAGGGAGTTTATACTGAGGGAATGATTTTTGAGAACCAGATTTAAGTTCAGCATACTTAGTATCCAATTGAATAGCTATAGAAATAGCCTCATAGACAGTGGCAAGGCGTTTCAATTTCACATCTCAATTCCTTCTTCAAACCACCTAGGAAACAACTCTTAAGTAGAATCAGACCAACATCAGAAGTTCGATTTGCAAGCCTACAAAACTCAGCAATATAATCCTTAAGAGTACCTGTTTGACGAAGTTTGAAGAGAGATTCAGTGCAATCTTTGAACTCTGAAGGTTCGAATTCACGGCAAAATGCAGTGGTGAAATCATCCCAGCGTGGTGTAGTAACCAAACAATCCATCCACCTAAACCATTGTAACGCCTCGCCCTCCAAATGAAAAGAGACTGTCACCACTTTTTTATGCTCCGCAGTGCCATAGTAGGCGAAAAATTGCTCGGCCTTGTAAATCCAAACAATCAGATCATCTCCATTGGTGAATCTGGGAAATTCGATGCAATGTTGGAAGTTTTGCCGATGGTGGTGTCTACCGTCATAGATCTCACGTCGCGGAGTGCGGATGAGCTCCCATTCGTTAGGATCTGGAAGATTTTCCATGAGCGGAGCTGGACAACGATCGGGATCAGAGGTTGAACCGCAATTCCTTCCCCTATAAGATTGTTCACGACGAAACTGCTCAAAACAGATCGCGAGCTTGGCGTCTAGAGTATCAGAGAAGGAAGATTGCAAGGAAACAAAAGAAGCTTCGAGAGCAGCCATATGCTCTTCCATGACTATAAAACGAGATGTGGTAATGTGTCTGGGCATGCACGGAAGGGAAACTAGAATCGACATTGGGTGATACCAATGTTATGACTTGATTCTACCTTGACCTGTTGCAGCAAGGTATAACAACGGAGGATGGGAGTGATGGAGAAGAAGGGAGTTGAGCTCTTATTTTTTGGAATAATATTTTCTATTAAAAAATAATGCTTGCCAGACCCTACAACCCATCAGCTATATAAAGTCATACAAACTAAGCCAGCTCCTTCGGTACACAACAATAAAAGCATAACTAAATTGTAACTAATTCCATGCTTAATGCTAACTCACTTATTAAAATGTGATTAAGAAAATCACATTGTTTACAGTTCATAACAGTATATGCGATTAAACGGTCCTCGGTTAGATGGGATTCGCTTGAAAATGAAAGCCCAACCTTACCCTCTCCATCTTCTGACCATTCCTGTATCATTTGGGGATTTTTCGGACTGTTTGTTTCGGTGCAATTTGCACGAAAATAGCAACAATGAGGCCGGTTTTCGTTGGCAAACTAGGCAATCGGAGCTGGACCGGTTGTTCTCTAAATACGGGAGGGTCGAGCGTGTCGATATGAAGTCTGGTACGCCGTGACTTGTTTTGACTTGTTTATAAGGTAGAATTTAATGATTTATGTTAAAGATTCAATCTTTTTGTTGGGTTTGATTTGTCGAGTTAGTGATTTTGTCCTATGGGATTGTGTGTCTGCTGGCTGTGGATCATTCAAGATTCCATGTCATGAATTGCTCCTGTCGTGGTTTTACGGGTGTGTTTGATTTTGATTTTATCTGCATTTACCCTTTTGTTTCTTCCTATGATTCATCGATTCAATGTCGAGACTGTGTCTGTTTGATTCGGGCCGGCCGCTCCGTCTGCCTGGCATGGTTGTATCTAATCATTTGTTCTGATAAACAGAGATGTAGAGTTGGTGTAGAACTTGCGCTTGTTGGTTATGGATGTATGGCTACTTTTGTAGTTTGGATATCCATTGCTTCTTTTGGCGGCCGCGAGTTTGCAATTTTTTGGACCAGGTTTTTAAGTGTTGCTTTTGGCGCAGGAACTTGTCTACTAAAGGAAAATGAACTGAGCTTCTTGCCAACATCACTTCCAGATTTCGAATTGAGGAAACCGTCCTGGTTGCCTGCTTCTCTACACTCCGTTCACAGGTAGCAACATTCTGCATTTTCTTCACTCGATCATCCGTCACTCACCCACTTCATCGCATACCGTTGCCATTTCACAAGAATTGTCCTGGTGGGGTCATTTCTTTTGCCATGCCCACCACAAATCCACCACTGTTCTTAGCGGATTAATGAAATCTGGCCATGCCTTCAATCACTGATAATGGGGATCTTTGATTTTGTCGTGCTATGCCTTCCATTACGGAATTTGTGCTCTCTGAATGGCGAAGCGTTCTTAGCAATGATTCAGACCTGAAACTTTGGATTAAAACCTTTAGTATGCTACCATCATGATTTAGTTCTTCAAGCAACGCCTCTACCGCCTTATATCTATCAAGTCCCTCGTGTAAATGCAGGTGTTGTATTTACTTTAGTTTGTGCCAGGGTAAAGATATATGAGGTTGATGTAGTAGCTTATGAGTGAGTTATATGCTGATGCTTCCTTTGTTCTTTTCTGCGTCTGATTTTTTCCTCTGTTTCAGGTTTTGCTTTTGTCTATTTTGAGGATGAACAGGATGCTGAAGACGCTATCTGTGGAATGACAGGCGCAGGCTATCTGTGGAATGGGCTAAGGTACGATTATCTTTTATTTTTTATAATCTCTCTCATTGTTTTTTTTTTTTTCTATATCGACTCACAAGTCATACAGTGTATTTTTTGGTAGTATATATAACGGGTCTTAAGATCTTAACCTTTAACGTATTAACAATTTAATTTATCAGGGTGAACGTGGTCGCCATCATGATGGGTCTAAATCACTGGCAAACCAGAGGCCGACTAAAAGTTTGTTTGTTATCATCTTTTATCCCGTCCACACCAAAGTTCGTGATATTGAAAGGCACTTTGAGCCTTATGGGAAGGTGCTTCATGTCAGAATTCGTCGGAACTTTGCATTTGTGCAGTTTGACACGCAGGAAGAAGCTACTGAAGCTCTTCAGGCTACACATTTGAGGTTAGTAATATGTTTGTTTTCTCAACTCATTTGACTAGAACGCTGAGAAACTGAGGCAAAATTATATCATTGTTGCGGCAAGATACTAGACAGGGTTGTCTCTGTGGTGTACGCTCTGAGAGAATAGTGAGAGAGGTGATGTCGAGAGAGGTGATCGCTATTGTGATAGCCCTCCTAGAAGGGGCAGTTACGGTAGGCATGGTGATAGTCCTTATTGGAGATCACCAAGTCCTGGTTGTCGCAGGCGCCCAAATCCTGATTACGGTTGTCCTCGCAGCCCTGTTTATGACAGGTACAACGGTCCAGTGTATGACAGGCGCAGGAGTCCTGAACGTGGAAGGAATGTGAGTCCTGAATACGGCAGATACCGCAGGTATGTTTTCATACCACGCTGTTCATTCTCTATATGCAGAGATTTCAATTGCTTGTGAGGTTGATGTTACACCATTTCAGTTTGTGATTTATCATTTACTGTTTGCAGTCGCTCGCCTATCCAAAGATGAACGTGAAGTCATCTGATCCAGTAGTGAGCTCATCGTTAGTTTCGCTATATAGCTTTTAGGTACATCTGTAGAGGATGAAACGATAGTACTTAGTTCAAGTTGATGTTATTATTAAGTTCAAGTTGCTCTCTAGGGTTGAAATAATAAGAATTTGGTTAGATTCCTGCTGGAACACATTGTCTTGAGTCTCTCGACTCATCTCGCATCTGTAATTTATCCCCTCGTATGGAGAAATCAGATATTTGATGGACGTGACTCAGTAACTGATAGGAAGCTTCGTTGCATTCTGAGCACTTCTTCCACCATGTGCAAATGGAGAGATTCTCTTTTGCAGCTAATACGTAGCCCCGATGGCGTCTCTAGTTCCAGCAAATGCTTGTCATGTGTTGTACCAACGGTTCAATAGATATTTGCCACGTGATGTCTCTGGTTACACAAAAGAATCGCGCGGAAATGCCACACAAGTCATAACTTTGGTGGTTCAGGAGTGGCTTTTCCCTTTGGACCCATATGCCAACCCTTCGCCTTTTGCACTCAGGAGATTCGTATGCTGACAAACTAAATCGACAATAAACTGTATATAAATAATAATAGACAAATGAATATCAAAGTGTGAAAATCGAACACACAACTTAATGTGCATGAACAAGTACTCGTAACAGCTCAGATCTATTAATTTTACAAAAGAACAAATACATGGATTCCATAAGCATCATGACAAGTATAAGAAAATATTTTGTCACTGTTTGCTCCTTGTGATCCGGCCAAGCATCCCAAGTTGCAATGACTGGTCCATTTGGTCTCATTAGATTATAAATTATGAGTTGGCAAATGGGATAACAATCCCTTAATCATGATCTTGTCCTCTTAATTACACTATGTAATCCAATCTAACAATTTTAATAAAACATTATTAACAGTGCCCTGCAGCCTTGCCAAGTTTCTTAAAAAAAAAAAAAAAAAAAAAAAAAACAGAAATTAGCTAAAATGATCAGAAATTAAATTCCAATCGTTTAACTGATCGAAATTAAATTTCAACAATATACCAATCGACATAAGTGATCAAATATCCACGACATATATTGGAAAAACATATCATTCTGCAATTGAGATATAAAAACCACTGGAACTCTACAACATCAAAGTTGATCAGAAGACTTGTTGAGTTCTTGATCAAGTGCTTTCTCAAGCCATGTCTCAGCATCTTCCATAATCCCAGGACTAAGCCTCACCATCAGTATACAAAACTCAGTCTCACTGAGTGCACCATCTCCATCAAGATCTCCTTCCCTAACCATTCCTTCGGCATCCTCCTTGCTCATCCCCTCCATCCCGAGAAGCGCTGAATTCTTCTTCAGGCTCTCCGACGTGATCAGCCCCCGTTCCGGGTCTGCCAGAAGCCGGAAACCTCCACATAACTCTGACACAAACGTCTCCACGTCCAGCTTCTCCGCCATGACTGGCAGCAAGTCTTGGTATTCAGTTGGTGCTGTGGACTTCCTTGAGGTGTTGCCCTTGTTTTCCATGGTTTTTTGTATTTTAATGTGTAGTGGAAAATGCGATGCAACAACAAATAACAAGAGGATTTTTGCAGAGCTATGGGGATTGGAAGAATATATATAATGTTTTGGCTTAAGGTATATATCTTTTGTTTTTTTTTTTTGTAGAGTTTACATCAATACAAAATGCATCATTGGTGTGTGGAGTTTATTGATATTAATTTGCAAGATGCCGAGGCTACGACTCTCTCCCAATCTTAGCCACCCATTTGGTTAGTTATTGCCTTTATGTTTATGATGCCCTATCCACACAAATTGGAAAAAAATCTCTTCGTCTAATTGTAACACTGTCACATGATGTTATTAATTTATGTGTTATAATATGAATAAAAATATGAGTTTTTTTTTTAGAAAATCTTGACGGTACGAGAGAATTTTATTGATATCGAAAAAAATGTACATCTAGTTAGGGGAACATAAACCTAATATCTCATAATACAATAAAAACGAATTAAAAAATACATGAAAAAGAAGGAGGGCATAAACCTTACCCGTCCTGAAACAAAAATAACAAAGATACAAAGAAAAGAGGAGGGACATGAAACCTAATTCTTATAAAACCGAACCTGAAGGTGTAAATTTGCAAAATAGAATGAAAAACATCACAAGGTTAAGAAAAAATATTTAAAAATATGAATAAACAACAACACCACATGACAATATAACAGTCAGACGCAAAAACGTTTGCAACCTTATGATGTTGAAAGTAGATCAAATGGACGGTTGATTTATCAAGGAACAAGACATGTGAACGGCCTAACAGTGTTTGAAATTCCAAAGTCAGACGTGGTGCAACAATTTGATATACAACGTGATCACTGATCTTGATTTCTATTTGTAAATTTTAATTTTATGAGGTTTAAATTTTTTTTTTATTCGAACTTTCTAGGAAGGTTCTTTGTGGTGGGGGAAGAGGGGACCTGTGTGGCTAAAACGTAATCTTGAAAAATGAGAGAATAGCTTAAATTGTCCGTGAGCTTGGCTTCTATGAAGCTTCCTTGTCTCTCTTATCAATTTGATTTGTTTGGATTCTTCTACTTTGTTTGATCTGTCAATAACAAATATCTGCCGTCCAATTTTATTTATTTATTTATTTTCTTACCCACTAGTAAGCCAATTGAGAGAATAAGCATTAAGCACAACCCACAGCTGTAGGCCGGTAAGAGTGATAAACGTGGGAAGGTAGGACGTGAGCAGGTTTTTTTTATCGAAGAAGAGTGCGAATGTCGAACTCTAATTGTGAAAGAGATGAGCATGTTGTTTTAGAAAACGAAATGGCAAAAGTTGATCTCTAATTGTGGACGTAAGATAAAACATTGTACCTGCTAACGTTGTGGACTTCTAATGCTAATAGACGAACAACAGAGTATGAAATGATCCACAAGAACATTTGGAGCCACATAAAATATGCTTATAGTTGACATATTTTTTGCATGTTTACCATTCTAAGGGTTTCATTCTCTATTTTATGTGTGCATGTTTATCATTCTTTTTCTAAGGAGAATTAATGAAAAATGCTTCAAAACTTTGAATTTAACCAAAAATCATGTAATAACTTTATTTAATAGTTCAGACAAAACTCATTATCCAACCAGCCCAATAAAACAAGCCCAAGCAAAGTAATTTATCCAAGACAAAAAAAAACAAAAAAAAAAAAACCTATGAAGGGCTTAAAATATGTTGGCCGGTGGCTAAAATGCGTCAGGGGTCAGACTCCATCTTCCTCTTGTAAAATCGGGCCCACTTATCTCAAAAGTGGTCCATCCACTCATCGAGAAATTTTTCTAGGTGACAGGTACATTGACTGAGATGGAGTTCCTCTCTAGTTAAATAATGCCATGTATCCACCCACTTTTGTTTAATAAAAACCATTGAAAAAAACAAAAAAAAAGTTTCAATATTTCTGTAATACGAATACATACGTCAAACTCCTACATTCTCTCTTAGAAATGGCTGATACGACTTTTTGATAAGCTGACGAACAAATATGAAAGAACGTGTTTTATTTCCTTCCAGTTGCTCACATATACCATTAGGGGTAATTATGGCAAAAAGTATTTTATTGCGGGTTGGGCTTAGTTAGGCCCGTCTTTTTAATGTTTTAGGGCTAGTATATGAATAGTTTTGTCTTGTGGTTTTTGGCTTAAAAAAAAAAAGTTAATTCAAACCCTTTTCTTTAAAGCTCCCTTCTTTTTAAGGGTTTTTATCACAAATAAAGTCTTATATATAGCAAAATCATCAATTTGGTCATTTAAGTTTTAAACTCATCAAATTGATCTTTTATCTATTGACTTACTCATTAATGTTGTCCCTACCATCCAATTCTGTTAAGAATTTCATTAGTTAGCTGACTTGTCATGCATATGGGCCACAAAGTCAATAATATAGTGCCACACTGGTTGACAAAAAATAAATAATAATTGAAAAATAAGATGAAATAACTTAGGAGGGTGTATTCAATTAGGAATTTAAATAATTTTAAAAGAGTTTACGAATTCATATGCATTCAATCAAGATCTTATATGAATCCATAGAAGTCCAAGGTTATTCACTATTCAATCAAGATTTTAAAGTAGTTTATAAAACTCTATAGTAAGCCAAGCCTTGCGAATATACATGCACTTTTTTTGAAACGGACTATGCCTCATCTCAATTCTTCCAAAGAGAATTGTTTGCAGGGAAAGCTTCTAGATAGCAACCCACCCTACTCGAAAGGGCTGGCTATAACCTAATTAAAAGGTCATTCAATGGGGTCATGACCTGTTGGATTTATTCCGATGTAAATCAACCTTAAATGGTCTACAACATATAATAAGAATGCAATATTGGAGATTAATGTAGATGTTGTGATTTGATTTCCTAAAAATATCAATCTTATATTAGGTGTCTTGTAATATAAGTAAGATTGATAGAGTCCTTGATTCTATGTGATTATGATACCTAACTGATAGGCTAAAAAAGTGGGATTTGGGATTCCTTTATGGACGAAACCTTAATACCTTAGCCCTTATAAATACTAAGGTCCCTGTAAACCCTAGATACACAACAAACGCTTCCCATAAAGTAGTTGTATCTGAATAGGTGCTTTGTCGAAGACTTTGGTGTTGCCGCATCCTACATCATTCCGCTTAGTATTCAATGGCTATTGCTTCACAATCAAGTTAGCCAACTCCTTGTTTGTGCTTTAATTATATAACCGCATAAAGTTTACATGTGGTATTAGAGCCATCGGTTATATGATTAAGACTTGTTAAGTTGAAGGTTGATTATATAATATTTTCATGAACTGCAGTTTTGATTTTACATTCAAATTGTGATTGCCCTTGGCAACACCACCACGAACCTCCATGAAAACTGCATACCTGCGTATAATTGCTTGTACACGGCAACACCACCGTGTTGGATTAATTAGTGGAATTCGAGGATTATTAATAGGTTGTATAACCATTATGGCATGAATCTAGGCAAACTTCATCAAGAATAGCAACAAGTCGTGGATCAGTCCTATAATTATATAGGAATTTGGAGAAGCATATAAATATATGTATATCGTGCTATT